AACACAACCGTTCACAAGCGACGCTAAATCAATTTGTTGTGATACAGCCGGGCTTCCACATGGTCGACGAGGGACTGCCAGAAGCCCAGAAGACGGTGTTCGGGTGGGTCCTCTCCGGCGCCTGTACGCAGGCTTAAGGCGTAGGCGACTGGCCGAAGTTCCGTTTAGCTGTTCCCAGCTCCCCTCCGTGAAGTGTCCGCTGCGCTTTGGAGCGCAGAGCGGAGCTTAGACTTAAGTAGTTAAATTTTGGCAGTCATATTGAATAAACCGCGGTCGTACCCCCGCCTATTTTACAAGTGAACTTTTTCGCGTATTACTTTTCGGTCAAGGGGCACTTCGCGTTTCGAATGTTTTTCTCCCCAACAGCCTAGACGCTTTCCGCCGCACCAGCAGCAAACCGCACCAGCAGCAAACCGCACCAGCAGCAAACCGCACCATCAGCAAACCGCCGAAGCCCAACGCAGCAGCCCGCCGACGCCTCCCACGCCATTCCACCACGCCACCGGTACCCCGCTACCCCCCGGCGTACAGTACCTATTGATATGGAAGAGCATATACTCTTCAAATACCACAATCAAATCGGTCATATAGGGAGAGACAAAATGTTAGATATTATTGCAAAAAGTTATTGGCTTCCAAACGCCAAGGAGAAGTGTGTAAGCCATATAAATAATTGACTAAAATTTGTAGCATTTTCCCCAATACAGGTAAAGAAGGATTTTTACATTCAAATCCAAAAGGTAGTAAGCCCTTTGAACTCCACATTGACCATTATGGACCAGTCGATTCGGGAAGATCAAAGAAACATATATTTGTCTTCGTGGACGGTTTTACTAAGAGTGTACGCTTATATACCACAAAGACAACAAATACCCGAGAAGTTATCATAGCCCTAAGGATTATTTTAGAGCATACAGCAAGCGCAAGTGCATTATTTCAGATAGAGGAAGCTGTGTTCCATGGAGCTTGACGATTTTATGTTAGAGTTTGATATTAAGCATATGAAAATAGCAATAGGATCACGTCAAGCAAATGGCCAGGTAGAAAGAATAAACAGAAGTCTTGGACCAATGATAACCAAACTGGTAGAGCCAGAGTAAGTATATACTGGTATACACTGGTATATATAGTATACAGTATTAAACAAAGTCCAAGCAAAATGTTATTCGGTTTAGAGCAAAGAGGAAAAGTAGTAGACGAATTAAAAGAAAAGCTTGAAGAATTAGATGATGCACAAGAGGACAGAGACCTGGAAAACGTTAGAATAAAAGCAGAAAAGTGTCAAGAAAAAGCACAAGCATACAACAAACTGCACTATGATAAGAAAGCTAGAAAGCCGTCACAGTATAAAAGGGGAGATTACGTTATGGTCAAGAATTTCGACAGCACAACTGGTGTCTCTAGAAAGTTAATTCCGAAGAAGGGCCCGTACGTAATTTCAAAAGTACTAAGAAATTACAGATTTTTGTTAAAAGATGTTGAAGGATTCCAGGTATCACGCAACCCTTACCAAGGTGTATGGAGCATAAATAATATTAAGCACTGGGTATGTTACAAAATGAAAGGAAAAAAAACGTAGATAAAATATGTTAAAAAATAATTACCATCACTTATAAGGTAAATTAATAAGAACTGCAACACATTTTGTAAATAAATAAACTTTAATTGATGTTCACAGTGATCAGGGGATCGTACAGTCAGGATGGCCGAGTTATAGTAGGACATATACTGACATGGCCCACTGTACGACATATGATGTAATATATTAATACGACACCCACTGTACTATAGAATAAGCGGGAAACCTAGTTTAAGTTAACTGTAAACGTTATATTGTCATCCCTTTCTACCGAGTACTGCAGCATAAGAGATCGCAGACACGTATACCAGCCTCGCTCACACAGATGAGCGAGAAGAAGAAGAGGGAGAATCGTTGCGGGACTCTTCAAGGAAAGCGCTTGTGAAATTACCAAATAAAGAGTTTAAACCAAAGCTATCGCCGGAGTTCTTTTGTTGCCTATTACAGAACCAAGAAGAATGATGGTATTTCTTGGTTGAGTTGGACTAGTAGAGCACAAAAATGAAGTTAAAAGAAGTTTTAAAGAAATTTTTTTGGATCTCCGTGTTCTTAATTATTTTTCGAATTCCGCCTCACAAACTTACTTACAACAAACTTACTGGTATGTTTTTTAGTTTACAACTATGTATAATGCCACCATTTATTAATAATAAATAAAGACGATATTGATTATATTATCAATTTAGTGTCTGTGTGGCATCTGGTGATATCGTAAAACTCTAACAATTTCGAACACGAAACGTGTCCTGTAGAATATTAATGTTTCCGTTTCAGCGAACCAAACAAGACATTCTTGGACAAAGTGTTGGGTAAAATATATTTATGTAAGGACTTGGCCAATAATCCAGATGCAGGTAATCAGAATGCGGCGTCTTTAATTAGTCGGGAACTCGGAAAAATAGTCAAAAAGTACACCGAGGTGGCAGATCGAACTGCATGAAAGAGTTAAAAAGTAGCAATCGCAAATCATAATACAAGTGACACCAAGGGAAATTATACTATACGAGTGATTCTTTGTAAAAAGTTTCGAGAATATCTTTATAGTCTCAAAACAATTAAATATTTGTATCACGATATTATACCATTGATATAGGATTTAATAAAAACAAGAAAGAACGCTATAGTCGAGTACTTCGACTATCAGATACCCGTTACTCAGCTAATGGGAAAAAAGGGAAATGGAGATACATATGCAAGCAGCAATGCGAGATTGAAATGCGCCACCTACCCGTGATTTCAATATGTGGTTATGTGGGCGGTAGAGAGATTTAAGCGTTATGCGCTTTAGAGTGTGCGTGCCAAACTTTTTTTTAAATCAGTCAATAGGTATTGACGAGACAAATACATTTTAGTTAAAATTTTGTATCCACCATGAAAATTGTGCGCGCCACGGCTTGGTTAGTTTGTGGGCGTTAGAGTGGGCGTGGCAATCTTTTTTTTTTAATCAATTGATAGGTACTGAGGAGACTAATACATTTAAGTTAAAATTTTTATCTAGCATGAAAACTGTGGGCGCCACAGGCTTGGGCGGTTTGTGGGCGTTAGAGGGGCGTGGCATATTCGCGTAACAAACTTACGCTGCGTACAAGGCTACGGAATTTAAATCTGAGATCCCATTTCTCTATCTTTGATAGTTTCCGAGATATCCGCGTTCAAATTTACGATTTTTTGAAGTTTGTGGGCTGTTTGTGGGCGGTTTGTGGGCGTTAAAGTGGCGTGATGAGAACAATACATTTCAGTTAAAATTTTTATTCTCGGATCGGAAACGCTTCCTTCTATTTGTTACATACTTTCCGACGAATATAGTATACTCAGTATACTCATACGAGTAATAAAAAGTACTCCTTAGTTATTACTTTTGCCAACCTTTCCTATAAAAATAACTCCCATAACAGTTTCTAAGCAACTTATAGTCCAAACATAAAAAAAAATTCAATCGCAATTTCTGCAAATCGGCAATTTTAATTTGTATAAAAAATTAGTATAATGTTCTATACATAATCCTTGTTGAACCCTTTAAATGTTGTCGTGGGACCTCTATGAGTTTCCGTAGAATTAATGAAAACAGTTTATATTAAATAAAAATCATATCAGTCTTTTCTTGTTATTCTTTTTAAAATTATGTTGTAACGAACTGGTTTCGACCGTTCTACACGCTAATTAAACGACGCCCGTGACCCCAGAAAAATAAAAATAAAACAAGAAAGAACGATATAGTCGAGTACCTCGACTATCAGATACCCGTTACTCAGCTAAAGGGACAAAAGGGAAATGGAGATATGCAAGCAGCAAAGTGAGATTGAAATGCGCCACCTACACTGGTAGAAAAAACGCGTAGTGAAATCAAATATATTTTTATTTGATTTTTTTTACTTCCCTGCATAGTCATACTAAATATAAAAACCTTTCATTTAAATAAAAAACATATTTAAGCCTTATGTCAAATATGTAAACATTCAAATCAAAGTGATTTTTATTTAAAAACAAGTTAGTCACATTTAAACTCAATGTTGCCATCTTGGTTTTAACTATTATAATAAGTAGTTAAATTCATAGTATATTTGATGGTTTTTTATATTTCAAGTAAATACTTTTTCAATTTGTTCGGAATATTTACTCTTTTATTTTAAATATAGAACGTTTTAAAAATTTGTATTTGACCAAATAATTGTAAATTATAAATCAAATTACATAGGTATGTATATGTATTAAGTTTGTGACCCATATACACAAAATAATTTAAATTATTAGTAATTTTCAAAAGAACAATATATATAAATAAAATAAATAATAATATATAATATAATATAAAAATAAATAATAAAATAATATTTAAAGAAAAGGGTTTTAGTTACGGCTGCCCAACGACCGGCAGCCTCTTTCAATTTCCATGACAATTAACATAAGATTTGGCTTTGTAATTTACTATTAAAAGTACAAAAACATGCTTAGCCAAAGAAAAAATGTGCGTGCATTGTAAACGCTGGGCCGTAACCAAAAACTAAAACCAACGGCACAATGTGCATACTTACATACATACATCAGACAAATAGAGACAATATGAACAAGCAAACGGCAAGCGCAAGCGCGTCTTCTTCTTCCATTCGCATTTGTACATTGGCGGTCAAGAAAATATGTATGTGCATAAGAACATAAATATTTCTTGTGTACCGATGTTTTGACAATAAGATATGTTCTTATAATATATAAATATAATAAAATAAAATAAATGATACTAAATTGACATATACAAGTTATTAAACTTAAGGACTTATTTGTACATATTTTCTTATTTTCTTCCCCATTACTTTGACCTCTATTGTAAAGTAACGGCACGCGACAGATTTTGTGCGTCCTTTTTGCACACATGCATATGTATGTATGTATATACGAAATAGTTTGACACTCCGCTTTGTAGCGAATCCCGCGATCACTTCGAAGCAAGCGGTTCTCCTGATCGGATGTAAAAGTGATTAATAGAGCTCGATATACAAGTGTTAATTTAAGTGTAATAAAAAAGTTAAAAGTACTGAAAAAAGGTGAGTCAAATAAAAATACAATAATTACTTAATATTAAGGCATGTGCATGTCCACGTTTTTTTGTCGATTTTTCCTTTTTGAGTTTCTTCTTTGTTGAGCGCGTTATTATTTCGTGAAAATTTAGATAATACATTTAACGAAATAAACAAAGCTCAAAAGAAAATTACATTTAAAAACGATAAAATATATACGATTGGGTAATAAACATGAAGTGGATAAAAAATACGCGAAAGAAATGAAGAATATGAAAGGAAGTTAAGTGAAAACGAGCGAAAACTAGATAAAATGAGTAGAATGCACGAGAAGGAAAACACTAAAAAGACGCAAAAAAGACGCTTTGCTGCCGTTGCATTCGGTTCTGTGGCGTCGCAGTCGTTTCATCTATTTCTTTATAATATTTTTTGGTTCTTTCACGTGATTTTTCTTTAAATGTAACTAATTTTCAAATTAAAAAAAAAATAAAAAACGAAATAAATTAAAACAATATTATTGTCTTATTAAATCCCTTTATATAAAAACACCTACTCGAAACTTATTATAAAACTATTTAACTTTTTCTTTATAGCAACTATAGCAATTTTATATATGGGACCCATTTAAGGAAAAGGTTTTTGCTTTTACGAAGAGCAAATGCAAAACAAAGAGCGACTTAAACTATTAAAGACAGTTCAGAAAACTGTATCACTTGGTAATGTATAATTTTTTTAAATTTATAAATTTTATCTTTTTATGATAAGCTTGACTTTTTCTAAATTATGCCATTACCAAAAATCTAATAACATATTCTTATTCACAGATTACAAGGACTACATTTACACCGTATTGCTCACATCTGTCATCTTAAATAATTCGTGGACCGTCATTAAAGGAACCAACAAGCGAAAGAAATTATCACGACTATGACTCGCAGGAAAGTTTTGTACGCACATGCAGACGTACGAATGTGGGAAAACAAAAAAAATGTGTGATTATAAAAAATATGTATAATAATGTATAATATGTATATGTATATATGTATCATATAAATTCTAAGAGTTACGTTGAGTACAAATGTATTTAAAACAAAAGTAATGATGACGTGTTAGCATGGTAAAAATAGAGTTTAAGCAGAACAATTGTTTGGATTATAAGTTTAAGTTTATTTTCAATAAAACCACATACTTATTTGGTTCTTTATTAAATATAAATCACGCTTGTTTTAAACTACAGATTGGTTTAAATTGAATACGCACCCTAACAGTATGGTTTAAATAATACATTTAAATCAAACATAAAGTACAGTTATTTTAACGGGGATTATATTTAATTTAAATACAATTTTTATTTGTATTAAAGTTCATCCCAGTCTGATTTAAATATGAGAATTATTTAATCCAAATAAAAATATGCTGAGTTTGAGGGCGGGCTATAATTATTTTAACTATAAAAACCATTCAAATGAAATATTCTATTTACTGGAACTAAATATGAAAATATTTAAAATAAATATAAAAATATAATACTTTTTACTATGGAACATATTTAATTTAATTATTTTGTACTATTTTAACATATTTGATCGAAATTAAAAAATCGTTGGATTTACTACGAGATTATTCAAAAAATAATTAACTATTTAACGTTTTCGTTTTTACGATTTTCATGTTAGGTTCTAAACCGCTGGGAAAAATAGTTGAAACGTTGGCGAAATAGTGACATTTACGATGTTTTTTCTACCAGTGTACCTACCACCTTATATGTGGTTGTGTGGGCGGTAGACAGATTTAAGCGTTATGGGCGTTAGAGCGGGCGTGGCAGGTAGGTATTGACGAGACTAATACATTTCAGTTACAATTTTTTTCTAACATAATTTTCTAAAGCTCAGTTAGAAAATGGCGGTTACGTTAAATGATTTTTACTTATTTTTATTGGTAATTAAAAAAAAAAAATGTTTATATATTTATTTTTATAAATATTCAATCATCTTCGTCGCTTTCGTTTAAAGTGTCTCTAAATTGTTTCGATGTGTTAAGGCTATAATATTAGTCATGAAATTGGCTTGGGATAGTTGTTTTTGGGAAAGTAATTTTAAGTCGTTAAACTTATTTTCAAATATTTTTAATTCTCCAGTATATAAACTAATTGGATGTTGAGTAAAACTCATATTAATGGATTTTTTATGGCTGTTTTCAAAATACCCGTGTTTAAATTTAAAGCTCTATTTGTTATAAGTAGCTGACCGAAGCAAACTTGATTGTAATTTATTAACCTTTTATGTAAGTATATTAGAAAATAATTTACAAATCTTAAAATCTATATATTTTAGCGGTATACATCCATATGAAAAAGGGTTGGTTCTTGCACTTCGAATAATTGTTATAATTGTATGCCACTCACTAGGATCCCACACTGTTCTATTTCGAGTAAATTACTCAATTGTGCTATGAACGGAGTCAAAGAGCATCATTGTATGACCTGGCAATTAGTATGTTATTTTAATAGATTTAGTAAATGTCGCTGAATTTAGAAAATAAACTATCATAGCCTTATTACGATTTTGTGAGCAACTATCGCAATTCAAACTTATTTCCTTGAAAGTTTTTCGTGTATCTAATATTAATAGGTATTTATTATTATTCATTGCATCCACGACGTCCATATTTTTCTTCCCAAATTTTTATTCTTAAATACTTCAATTTTTGAAGATCAAAAGTGGCAAACAAAAAAAATGTTTTCTTTTATTTTTTTTTGTTTATTTAAGAAAATACTTTTTATTTCATCTTTGTCTCTTAGATGGGTTTTAAATTCTTCTGATTGAATAACAGTATCTTTACTTTAATCACATAAAGGCAGTGGTCGGCACACACATACCATTACAAGTTTGCCTTGCATTAGTGTGAAGCGAGACGTTTCTCTGCTTTGCACTGAGATCCTCTGCCGCAGCAACAAAAAAGCGCGCCGAAGTTGAGAAAAAAATTACCCGAAGACCCATGCCGAAGTCACACGAACATGTACGTTATACGTCAGCGAGCAGAGGACGGGCAGAACACTTCCCTATGCTCACTAGATAGGCCGCTGCCGACCACTGCATTAAGGGCATCTGTCCTTTTTTTGGCAAATAAAATCCAATGTGAAAATCTTTTTTAAAAATTTGTCGAAATTTTTGTGAAGACAGTGAAGAATATAAACTTTTTTTCTTTTAAATATTCAATATAATATTTATATAAAGTTAAATATAAGAAGGACGAACCTCGATTCGAGAACCTCGACTATCAGATACCCGTTACTGAGCTTAAGGGACCAAAGGGACATGGAGATATGCAAGCAGCAAAGTGAGATTGAAATACGCCACCTACCCGTGATCTCAATATATGGTTATGTGGGCGGTAGAATGGTTAATGGGCGTGGCAACGTTTGGCAAACGTTTGGGTCAATCGATAGGTATTGACGAGACTAATACATTTCAGTTAAAATTTTGTATCTAGCATACAAATTGTGGCTGGCTCAGGCTTGGGCGGTTTGTGGTCGTTAGAGTATAGAGTGTACTTGCGCTGCGCACAAGACTACCGAATCTAAATCTGAAATCACAGTTCTCAATCTTTGATAGTTTTCAAGATATCCGCGTTCATACTTACGATTTTTTTAAGTTTGTCGGCGTTAAAGTGGGCGTGGCAAACTTGTTTTTGGGTCAATCGATAAGTATTGTTAGGAACATTTCATTTCAGATAAAATTTTTATTCTAGCATCAAAAGGGTAGGAACACAGTTTTGGGCGGCTTGCGGGCGTTACAGTGGGTGTGCCACCCTGCTGAAACAAACGCAAGAAGCTCAGGAATCTGCATGTGCATACTTACATACATACATTCAGACAAATTAGAGACAAATATGAACAAGCAAAACGGCAAGCGCAAGCGCGTCTTCTTCTTCCATTCGCATTTGTACATTGGCGGTCAAGAAATATGTATGTGCATAAGAACATAAATATTTCTTGTGTACCGATGTTTTGACAATAAGATATGTTCTTATAATATATAAATATAATAAAATAAAATAAATGATACTAAATTGACATATACAAGTTATTAAACTTAAGGACTTATTTGTACATATTTTCTTATTTTCTTCCCCATTACTTTGACCTCTATTGTAAAGTAACGGCACGCGACAGATTTTGTGCGTCCTTTTTGCACACATGCATATGTATGTATGTATATACGAAATAGTTTGACACTCCGCTTTGTAGCGAATCCCGCGATCACTTCGAAGCAAGCGGTTCTCCTGATCGGATGTAAAAGTGATTAATAGAGCTCGATATACAAGTGTTAATTTAAGTGTAATAAAAAGTTAAAAGTACTGAAAAAAGGTGAGTCAAATAAAAATACAATAATTACTTAATATTAAGGCATGTGCATGTCCACGTTTTTTTTGTCGCATTTTTCCTTTTTGAGTTTCTTCTTTGTTGAGCGCGTTATTATTTCGTGAAAATTTAGATAATACATTTAACGAAATAAACAAAGCTCAAAAGAAAATTACATTTAAAACGATAAAATATATACGATTGGGTAATAAACATGAAGTGGATAAAAAATACGCGAAAGAAATGAAGAATATGAAAGGAAGTTAAGTGAAAACGAGCGAAAACTAGATAAAATGAGTAGAATGCACGAGAAGGAAAACACTAAAAAGACGCAAAAAAGACGCTTTGCTGCCGTTGCATTCGGTTCTGTGGCGTCGCAGTCGTTTCATCTATTTCTTTATAATATTTTTTGGTTCTTTCACGTGATTTTTCTTTAAATGTAACTAATTTTCAAATTAAAAAAAAAATAAAAAACGAAATAAATTAAAACAATATTATTGTCTTATTAAATCCCTTTATATAAAACACCTACTCGAAACTTATTATAAAACTATTTAACTTTTTCTTTATAGCAACTATAGCAATTTTATATATGGGACCCATTTAAGGAAAAGGTTTTTGCTTTTACGAAGAGCAAATGCAAAACAAAGAGCGACTTAAACTATTAAAGACAGTTCAGAAAACTGTATCACTTGGTAATGTATAATTTTTTTAAATTTATAAATTTTATCTTTTTATGATAAGCTTGACTTTTTCTAAATTATGCCATTACCAAAAATCTAATAACATATTCTTATTCACAGATTACAAGGACTACATTTACACCGTATTGCTCACATCTGTCATCTTAAATAATTCGTGGACCGTCATTAAAGGAACCAACAAGCGAAAGAAATTATCACGACTATGACTCGCAGGAAAGTTTTGTACGCACATGCAGACGTACGAATGTGGGAAAACAAAAAAAATGTGTGATTATAAAAATATGTATAATAATGTATAATATGTATATGTATATATGTATCATATAAATTCTAAGAGTTACGTTGAGTACAAATGTATTTAAAACAAAAGTAATGATGACGTGTTAGCATGGTAAAAATAGAGTTTAAGCAGAACAATTGTTTGGATTATAAGTTTAAGTTTATTTTCAATAAAACCACATACTTATTTGGTTCTTTATTAAATATAAATCACGCTTGTTTTAAACTACAGATTGGTTTAAATTGAATACGCACCCTAACAGTATGGTTTAAATAATACATTTAAATCAAACATAAAGTACAGTTATTTTAACGGGGATTATATTTAATTTAAATACAATTTTTATTTGTATTAAAGTTCATCCCAGTCTGATTTAAATATGAGAATTATTTAATCCAAATAAAAATATGCTGAGTTTGAGGGCGGGCTATAATTATTTTAACTATAAAAACCATTCAAATGAAATATTCTATTTACTGGAACTAAATATGAAAATATTTAAAATAAATATAAAAATATAATACTTTTTACTATGGAACATATTTAATTTAATTATTTTGTACTATTTTAACATATTTGATCGAAATTAAAAAATCGTTGGATTTACTACGAGATTATTCAAAATAATTAACT